TGTCACCCCAATGTGAATATGATTCACGCTCATGCGTCCCTAATTACGAGTTTGTAGATGCTTGATTCCATGTATCATCTGTGCTAATCCCTATGGCATGTTCTCCTGTACATAGGTGAAAACCGCGAGACTACGAAAAACATCATATAGATTGAGGTGAAATTGCTTCGACTCCAGCCTGCCCTCTATTAAACATGGCAAGAAGCCTACTAATAGTGTATTAAAAAGGCAATGCCCGCGCTGTTCGTCAAGTCTGTGTCAATAGCACATATGAAAAAGGCAGGCTGTGTGCTTAACATGGAGATGTTGAGCTTTACTATTTCTAGTAAGAGTAGCATCTCCTTTTAGCAGCCGACAAGTCCCGGTTAGCACACTGTCGAGACAAAGAAAACCCGTTTGAGTCTTGCGCAATTCATAAAGGGAAAGAGAGAAAGGAAGATATTAACGATATTAAAATGCGAGGACAACTAGTGTTTAGTATAAAGCCAGAAAATGGCGTCGACTGAAGTAATTCTATTGAATCGCTGAGGCTTTTCTGACCGAAGCGGGCTGAAAGGCAGCTTCGGCGCAGAATGCTCGAAGGGTAGATAGAACTACGAGGAGATACGCAGATAGTAGGTCAAAGGGGATTTTGATGGTGCTTTCAAAGTGCTGGACACTACACTGCCACAATCGCCTCTACACGTCTTCGTGTAGGACGGCGAATTTTGAAAGAAGGGCAAGAAAACTACAGTCAAGGCTATGTTTAATTCAAGGAATCGATCGTGGAAGCATAGAAAATAGAACAGCCGTGGTAAAAAGAATAGGTAGGTGATTTCACATTATGCGTAAGTGACTGTGTGTGTTTGAGTGAAGTTGGGCGAGAGACTAAGCAAGATCAGATCTCCGCAGCTGAGCAGGGTCTTGTCGATCCCAACACAAACAAACAAGGATACCGACTATGTTGGGAACAATGAACTAGGCTATGGACGAATGACTGACCGAACAACGCTTAAGGTAAGTTAATGACGCTCAGGGAAGCGACGTGCGCAGGACAGTGATGTCTGCCATTCAGCCGGCCAGCGCTCAATAAAGCGTTTGGAGAAGATCCTACTCCGTGAAAGGCATGTTTAGTTGGATCGGTTTCCCAACAAAGAACGCGCAGATGGCTCCTGGCAGGATAAAGGTCGACGTAGCTGGCCTGAACTGGACTGGTCAATGAGTGTGGGTTTTAGCGGATGTGACGGGAAGGGTCTGTTGGCGACAAGCTGAGTCAGGCACACACAGCACGCGCCAATCTCTATGCCCAACAACAGTCAGACGGATCGGTAGACAGAGGGCAAACGCTTATACACATCCTACATAATCACACACTGGCCGTGTCTGTGTATATACTGATAAACACTACAACGATTGTGACGATGACAACGACAACAGAACGGGTACAAATAAGCCTGATGCACAATACCTATAGCTGAGTATACCCTCTAACGGTAGCAACTGTGGTAGCACAAGTCGCTCCAGCAGTAGTTGTTATTCTAAGCCTTGAACAGAACCGCGCAACCAGCGATCACTTAGGGGAGTCGGCTGACCACTGGCTCGGAAGAAGACCAGACATACAGACAGAGAAGTGGAGCACTGAAGGGCCTGAAACGGTCAGAGAAAGCAAGCAGACTAAAAAGGGACTTGGGCGCGGGGGCCAGGGGATCAACGACTACGAATGAACGAGTTAAACAGACCGAACGAAAAAGAGCCAGCAAAATAGAGATTTCGATAGTTAAGGAAGTCCATCTGTAAAAGGGTTCGACTGAAAGGCGTCATAGGGACGGGCCGATAACAGGGAAAGAGAAAGGGAGGCGGGGGGGGGGGGGATGGAGAGAAAAAGGGGCAATGCGAGAGGGACGAAACCCCATCAGCTACAGGTCTCCTTAACTGGTCATGAAGTTCCCAATTTCCCAAAAGCTTTTCCCTTTATTCATCAAACCAAGTAGCGGCTTGGACCATATGCTACCATCATAATCATCACTATTGGACTTAAACTATCGTTAAATTTTCTCGGTAACCCGTATGCCTATATAGCAATAGAACTAAACTTCAATCCTTAAGGCAATAGGTGAACTCGCCGTGGCGTGATAGCGAATATGAGTAAAAGGCTAGACAAATTATACTTCTCACTTCATCGCGTACTAAGTTTTTTACAAGTTAGCTGGAAAGGCTATTTGATATTTTAACAACATTACCTAAAGCTATCGGTTATCGAATAACCTATGGGATGCCGCTTGATCCCAAATCTATTTAGCTAGTTCTAAACGCACAGCGTAGTCTTCAATAGCAATAACAGAATTAAATATCTTGAAAATTCTAAAATGTGAAGAATGCAGTAAAAAACGACAGTAACGTCAAGTCTCTTTGTTAGTTAGATAATTAATAATATATAATAATTAATATTCCAGTTGTTATACTACGATTACAGTACTACATTTACAAGCGATTTTTGTTCCGGTACAATAATCCTCTGTGCAGCCAATTTACACCATGTTACATACCTGTTTAATCTGCTTGACTTTGTTTCCGATTGATTATGCTGTTTTTATGAACTGAACATAAGGTATAACGTGCAAAGGCACGTAACGATTCCTTATTCTTATGTTTTCTCTACTTGGGTCAACCAGTGACGGGACGTCTGGTTCAAAATAGACAACTAAACCCAACAGGTGGAAAAATATTGGCTCGACATGTGCAGGTTGACGGAGACGACGATTGACTCTCATCAGGCTACGCTTCTTTCTATGCGCTTCTAGCTCTTTGCACGCTATTGGCCTAGCTATATACGGTGTTAGGATTTCAGTTCCTGCCAGCTTATCGTCCAATCTAGCTCGAATTACGGACTACAAAGTAGCTTCGCCCGTGGTGAAGCTAACTTCGAATACGATCCAACCTATCACGAGGCGTAAGTGGTGAAAGTGATCAGACCACTGTCAGCCAATCCGGGCACCGAGCTCAGATCCGAGAGACTTGGCCCTTTTTAAAGACAGGAGTGACAAGGCTACTTCAGGCTGCTAGACTATAAGGCAAGAGCAAGGTTAGGAAGGCCCTTGTGATTGTAGCAGTTGCAGACTACACCTTTTTTCCTTCCAGCCGTCGAGGCCGATGTTATGGCTGTTATTGCAACGTAAAAATAGTTAATAGACAGTGGTTCCAATACCTTTCCAGCCCGACACGTGGGACGGAAGCAGCGTCGTGCTACCTCGTCAGCTTGAAGACATAGCGTATGTTTATAGGGTTCCTAACCTGAGTCTCCTAAGGATGCTGCCTGGCATAAGAGGCCATGGTAAGTCAGCTGAGGCAAAAAAAAAACATTAATTAGAGATATGACAAATATAAAGGTGAAAAAAAAATTCAGCGTAGCAATTCGCCAACTACATCGTGACAAAATGAAAAAATGAAGTATAACTAGAACTAGAAGTTGATATGTTAATTCCGTCTTGTAGTGAGCATGGTCCTTCACAAGTGCATATTTAGCAATGATAGGTAGAGTTTGTGCAAATAACCTACCAGCGTTTTCTAGCCCTAATCATTCGCGAGCGTTCCGATATTTCTATTCTCAAACTTACCTACGTGCTATGAGAAGTTCAATCAAATATTTAACATACATCGCCCCCCCCCCCCCGTTCAAAAAAATTAAGGAACCACATAATAATAACAACGCGTAATATACTATATACAGAGGACGTCAATTTTAAAATATGCTAATGCAACAAACGAGAGTGTCATGGTGGCTGCATGAGCAGAAATGCACGATTTTTATCTGGTTAGAAGCCTTTACGGATGAATCAAATAGTGAGGAAACAAACGAAGAAACGCTTTTACTCATGACTTGAACAGGACGACATCTTTAAAACGGTATTTCCTTACGCAAATAATTATATGACATTTTTACAAGCTATTTACAGAAGTCTGTGTTGTAGGTGGTTGTGAATATCGAATATCTTCTTTCATACATTTACAATAGCCACGGTAAACGCTCAAGAATTGAAGCCATTCCCCTTAAACGAAGTAGGCGGCTGAGTCTACTATCCCGACCCAGTTTAACCCGCTGTGCGCCGGAAGCTTTTGAGGGAGGACCGTGAAATACGATATACCTCCGCTATGCTCTGGGACCGAGAGTTCGCGATCAGCGTAATGCACGACGGTAAGCACAAGCGACACACCCAGCTCCCTTTTTATAATAATGCATGCGATTTACTGTAAGAAGAGCAGGACCGATGTCAACTTTAGCGATGAAGAGATTTCAGCCATGTAGGCCACATCACATAGTTTTAGAAACGGGCTATAAGAATTTTGAACTTTTTCTAGTTAACACCGTTAACTTGCTTTGAGCGCAAAACGGAATCAATAGACATTTTTTATTGATCGAGAAGGCACTGAACGGTTTATCCGAAAACGAAAACGTGTGCTTGTGAGCATTCGATGTTCGCCCTTTGTGTATTTTTTATTTACGCGCTTGCAAAGCCAATCCGGGAATTTCTTTTATTTGATGTATATTAGCCCTTTCAACTAAGATGTCTGCACAATAGCTACTTACATCAGAAGTTAGTACCAATGGACAACTGCATAAAACAGCCCTGAAACTTACCCTCATCGCAACACTTTTCAAAGTACTAGGAATATGATAACTTGATCTTTATAGATGTTCTTAGGTGCTCAATACCAGAGTTCATACGAATGTCTCATTGATACCAGAACAGGAATTTCACGCCATCAACAAATCGGAAGTTCAACTGTGATTATGAGACGAACGCATCTATCACGGTTCGTAGCCTTTCGATAATTTTTCTACTGCATCATTTTTTTTTTTCTAGCGTACATATATAGTGGGAGCATAGTTTGTATGACGGATGCCCCCTTTCCGTGTGATCCTCTAGCATTCTAAGACGAGACTGACCGCGTACATTAAATGACACGCCCTTTTCATAAAATGTCCTTTTATTAAGCTAATAACAGAATTAGCATGGAAAATATCGAATCACGTGCGAGAAACTACCGATCGATGAGATTTTTCGTTCCGTTGGAGTCTGCATATTCACATTATCTATCTCAGTTTTTTTCTCGTTCTACAGTAAAGGTCCGAAGTGGCATTAGAATGATTCTTGCTATAGTCGCATGACGGTAAGGAACAGCGTTCTATCATGAAGGATCTAAAAATAAGTCGTGATAATGACAGTAAAAATTGCGGAAGTTTCAGAAAGTGGACCAACGTATGTGATCATAATGCTTGTTCTACTGCACGTTGTCCGGAAGCGCTCCCTTGGAAATCCCAGCTCAGCAGCTTTTGAGCTTCATCTGACAACCTTGGCTACACTTCGCTACATCCTAGCTATCGATTTGTCTCCAACCTTCTTACGCAACTATCCTGATACGGAGCGAAGTAACTGTTGCGAAAACTGTTGTTTACTCTGAGAAGTAGGTACGGCCATACGAGTCCTTTTTTAATCCCCTTTCAAAGTTCCTGTAAAAGGCTCCTCACAAGGCAGGATAATATAGTACTTCCAATGGTGGTTATTTTATGACTGCCTCAATGAGCTTTACTGTAACTGGAGTAACTGTGGTTGGTGTCTTGCTCGTATTTAGGTGCAGATACAATCAAAATGGGCTATTATTTAGATATAATGTGCATTTTTTGGATTAAATGTTATAACTATATACTCTGAAATGTACGGTCCATAATACACCGTCTTTGAGGCGTCCTGCATATTGCGTACGGCATAATATACATGTACATTCTAAGCTTTCTAGATCCCTACCAGAACGTAAGGGTTCACTGTGGCTACTACAATGCCACTTTTCAGAAATGAGACACTGACGGAAATGGCCGTCTCAAATAAAGAGAATTGAAGAAAGAGGCAACCCAATGTTGGCTATGTTGATTTCGGTGGAAGAAGCTGAGGCGCATGCCTATCGCGCTGAGCACCGGCTTAGCCGGCATTACTTCAATGGGTTATGACTTATGCGGGTTTGTTGTACAAGCTGGCAAGTTGCTGGTACGATCGCCGCGATCCACCCACTCCAGTTACAGGATGTCGTCCGAGCTCCAAGTCTCGTCTATCCACAATGTCGGCCTAACGGACACCATCCCTCCGCAGACATCTAGCTGCTTGAGCAGCCAGCATCACTCAGCTTCAACTTTGCACTCGCCCACAAAAAATCCAACTAACACAAAGCCTTCTCATGTCACGTCTATGGCCTGCTTGGCCTGGCAAGTCAGCCGCAGTGCCGCCAGCAGCACAGCGACCACGATTATACTTCAGTCAATGCCGTAGCGAAGAAAACCTATCGTTTTATGGTTTTTTGTTTGTTTATATGTTGTAAGTTTTCATCTTGGCGCTGCAGTACGTGCGACAAAACTCGAACACAGTATGCTGCGCCTTGGATACGACGAACCAGAGGAATCAAAGATCTGCTTTTGGCGACGGAACACAATGAACATAACAGATGCATTGTAGAGTTGTTTTGGAAAAGATTTGTTATCAATAAAAGCCCACTCAAGAGGTGTGTACGTAACACGTGATGGATGTCCAAGTAGTTTATAAGAGTATCCAACTCGGCCGCATGTGGCACGTTGCTTATCGTTGAGGCACGTCAGCCTTGCTACCTGTAAGATGATTGCGACTCGCAGTAATCGAGTGAATCCGGTGCCATTGACGGCATTGTATTACAATATAGAAGTTTTTTAAGCATGCATTACTACCTAAGTGACTACAATATACTGAGCACTATTGCTTGATAGATGTTCATTGTTGAATTAATTGGTTGGGCGGGTAATTAATGAAATATCTCCTTTTAAGGCAAAGTCACGTTTCAGATGTAACTGTTAGACAATTACCTAGAGATAATTATCAGGAGTCGGCCGCCTACAAAAGCAGGCGTGTAATCTCTGCTTTGTTTTTTTTTTTAAAATGAAGTGGCAATTCTAAACTTTCCTATGGGTCCAAAGAATGTATTGTTCCTTTGGGCAATTTTTTTCTTTTAAACAAGTCGTCACCGTCGCACGCGTTAAACACTTCCAACAAGAAGCGCTCGGTAGAATTAAACAGCCTGTAAAATCCAGTACAGAACAAACGTGACCAAGTCTTAAACGTTCTCTCGTCATCCTGATCTTCTATTTTAAGTGAAAAGCTTCAATCAAGTCATACTCAAAGGTCGAGTCTGAAAGATAATTAAAAATTCTACATGAAGCATATGGGTGTAACGGCGTTTTTTCCAACTGTATTTTCTGTTTTTCTGAAGTTCTATATTTCCGCTTTCAAGTACGCCTTTCTTGTCAAACGCTAACACAAAATGTTCTTAGCCAAAGTCATCAGTTCGGAGAAACCATTTTCCCTAATAGTTTCCTTCTATTGACAAAGTTGCCGTAGAATTTTATCATGATTTTGTTAGTGAAAATAAAGTCCACCGTTAAAATCCACTTAATAAAAGAATACAGTTACATCTTTGTTACGAACACTTGCAGGGTACAACGACCACCCACTCGTTTTTTTTTTGGAAAAAATCAAAGTACGCTTATAAACAAAAAAATACAAAGCTTTTTGTTGGTTGTTAATCACTTGTATACCGTAGAACAAATTGATTGAACTGAATCTAGAGGAGATTTTTTGCAACAGTTTTTTTCCTTCTTGAAAGATATTTACCTTGCCGGCAACACTCTATGTAGTCGCAAACAATTGCAGCTCTCGAAACGGACGATTCAGCACTTAATTTTTAGGTCAGGTCTCTGAAACAGATACAAAGCTCTCAGTCCTTTATTTATAGAATAATTATGTAGTAACGACTTCACTGTGGTTCTGCCTTATAATATTCACCAGTTAGCATTATAGATAGCGCGTGTCTTCGAAGTTTAGCTAGACAGGTGAAGGACTTTTATGGAAACAAAAAGTGTCTGTCATATGCTTCTGAATTGCGTACTTTGAACGGAAAATGCCAATTGATTCAGCTGAAGGAAAACAGATATCACAGGGGTACGTCGTACGGGTTGAGCTAAAGCTAAGCTTAGAGTACCACGGAACAAAAGAGCGTTGCGTGTCACCTTTCGATCAATGACTATACTGAGTCTCATCTGAACGTGCAACTGAAAATCAGAAAAAACCGTGGGCTATTGTCTCTCTCCCAACGCCAGAGAATGGGACGGTAACTCTTCCCTCTGACCGCATTGCCTGAAATACTAGAGTATGCAATTAGTTAAAGACTTTTTGTACGTTGTACAAGGTACGTTTCCTCCTTCAACTACAGCATAATTATGCTGAGCTATCCTTTTTGAAAACACAAAACGTTTGTGGTCTATTAAAGGGAATTCCCTTAATTTAACCTTCAGAACGCATCTATTGGCTCAGGTTAGACTCCAGAGATTTAACCAAGGCAATATATGTCTATACTTCTAATGTAAATATGGCTGAAGCTTTTTATTTCTTTACTTTTCCAATAACTCGTATTACGCTTATGAGTATTACTACTAGACAGTACACGTTTGTTGCCGTTTGCAAACGATATGACAACATAGTTTAACTAGGTAACAAGCTAACTAGCACAGTTTCTGTCAGTCCATATATGTATTATTAATCGTCTTAATGAATAAGCCGGTGTCGGCTGCATCAAACTTAAACCGTCCTCCAAATTACAGACCTGTATTACGCATTTGATAAGTTCCTCCTCGGCGAAACCCTCTCTGCTGACGGTGTAGTAGACTTCACCACTTAAGCGAATGAAAAAAGACACGTACACGTAATACCTCGTTATAAAACAACTAAGAAGTAAAACGTCTGACTCCACTGGCAGGAAAACGAGATGGCAGTCCTTACAGCAGCGTGAACTTGTCGAATTTGTTAAGATCTCTAATAAAGAAGGCCGGAAGCATAGGGAAGTTGTATCATGAACTACTGTTAGTTCGAACAGACCGGTAATGGTAATAATGCTTTTCGATATGATTCACTTCGATTGATTCTTGCTATCGAACTGTTTTTATGACAGGTTGGCCGGTGAACTAACGACGTTTCGACATGTTGAACGGATTAAGGCCTAAGTAAAGTGAACATTGTGCCAATTCGCTATGGGACATTCGTGGGTCGGATGCTTCAATTTAATTTTTCTCAATCTTAAAATAATGGACCAGCTTCTGATTTTTTCCGGTGCGACTCTAGATATAATGCCATCAATTACCGTCCAACATTGAAGTGTTTATTGGAAACGGTCTTTTTTGGAAGTTTTAATTCTACGCCTTTAGTAGTACTTTTGAAGGACAATAATGAGCTCGATCCCAGCCAGTACGGATGTTTATTATTCTATTTGGACTCAATTATCGCAGTGGCTCAGGACCGGACCAGGTTTGTCAACTCCTATAAATTGTTTCATCGCATTTGCTTTGATCAAAGGGATGCTCTCTCCAGAGTAGAATACGAACGACTTCTACGAAGGACGAGATATTTACGAGACTGTACAGTGAAGTTTCAGGTAGAAGTTGAAAAGGATTTTAGCTAATTATGCTCTGCTTTTCTGGGTTGTCCACGGCAACTGTATTTCTCAATCATTATATGTCATTCTTATGCCTGTGATAAACGGTTACGTTTCGCCAACTGTCAAATAGCGCTCAATACGTTGTCGACTTGAAGACGTTTTAACTATAGATAAACCAGATTCGCGTGGAACCTTTAATAAACAGTATACAGAAAATAGTTTATGCGGTTAGAAGGAATAATTACGTGCTCAGTTCTGTTTTAGTTCAGCAATAAATTATTCATACTGATACCGAAATACCAGGTCCAGAAAGACATAGGATATTTTTACTCGATCAAGCATGTCATTTGTAAAAAATATGCGTTCGACATTTTCATATCTCTCATTTTGGACAGAAATCGTGTTACCAACAGAGACTACCGTGTAAATATTTGGCTAACATTCTATTAGAAAGCTTTTTTTCAAATCTCTCTAGCTTCTGCCAGACGTCTGTAAGAGATTCTGACCAAAAGAAACCCAAAAAAGCAATTGCAAAAACGGATTCTCTTGTAGGACAGATGCCGCTATACCTTTACAGTTATTCCATCAGAATTTCGTCTATACTGTGAACGAAACCACTTCTTGACAGTTATCCCACGACCGTAATCCTATTTTCTGATTCAGTCAGACTATTAATAGTATTTATTCACGTTGCAGTTACCCTGCTGGGAGCGTCCCGTTTTCCCAGAAGAATATTTTAATTTTCCTGCTGTCAAGTTTCCATGGTCTCAGTAGTCTGTGCTAATACTTTACTCTTGTTGGATCTAATCCCTCATATAAGTTATCTCTACTTCAGACCTATATGTACTACTACAAACTTTTTCTTTCGGTTGTAGTTTTTCTGAAATCCTGGTACTTTAACTATGTCATCCCGTCGCAACTTTTCGGCTAGGAAGGTCATAACTTTTTTGACTTAGTTAATTTCTTATTTGGGACTAGTAAACCCGCTAGTTTGGTGCACTTACCTTATTACCTTGTCCCAGCAAAATGTCCTAGAAAGCCCTTTACATTATTGCACTTGACTCATTGATACACCGCGCGTAACCTGTGGCTCGAACTTGGGAACTCAGCTCAATGTAAACCTACATAAATACAACTTGAATATGTAAAATTATCCTTTATCCATGTACGGGCCCTTTGGCTGAACCCTTACCGAATCCAGGTCATTTTAATGTTATTCTGACCTTCTAATCGCATCAGATTTATGGTCCCAACACGCTTATCCAGTTTTCTCCCATTTCACCAGCCGAAAAAAGTATTCATCAACTCAAAAGTTATACCATATAAGTCATTTCGCAAATTAACATAACGCTTCTTATAGTAGATGGGAACTTCTTTCGACGTTTGAAGAGAATGAACCATGTTGCAAAAGTCATAATTTTAAGGCTAGCATGCAAAAATATGAAAAATGGAAAATTTGTAACAAAATTCATGGGGCCCATTCCGGAAAACCTAAAGAATAAGCAATCCTTCAATATAAAACCTCGTTAATTTTCAACGGTTTTTAAGGAAATCGGTAACACTATCATTTTGTATTCATAATTAATTTAACACCCTTTTGTCTCGGTTATAGCTTCACTTTTGGCCTTAAATCTCTCACAACTATTTAGAATTGTTTCCGATTGAACTGTCAGAATGTTTCTTTGAAAGTAGAAATGAGTGTTGTCTTTGATGGCCTGTCGAATTTTCCCAATCAAGTTCTATACATAGTAACTCAACGGAGTCAAATCTGGGCTGTACGACGGCTAAATAGGGCATAAATATTGTATCTTGTCGGAGAAGAATCAACTACTGCTATTTCACCTCTGAGAGCATTTGATACTGATTTAATAATTTGGCTTTATTACATAGCGTGTGTTTGAGATCGTTATATACAATTAGTAAGATAGTAGCTCGTTTGTCAGCGGTTCTATTAAAATGGTAAAACTATACCTTTGGAAAACATTGATTAACTCTGGAATCTGTATCCAGCGTGGATTTTCTTCTGTGATATGCGACAACTTGTATCTACTTCACTGAATTCTTTTCACTGAATATATTTTATATTCAACAACAATATATGCTTATAAGGCCGATTCATGATGCGTTTTTACTTAGTGGTACACAGAGGTAACTCACGCTTTCCTCAAACGAATGCATCTCCAACATAATTATAAACAACGTAACACTTCGATCATCGCTCGATTGCAATAAGGTAGAGCAACTATGACATAAAAACGCAAAAAAATACCAACCTAAAGTACTCAATGTTTAGTAGTTGATCCTTGTTTCAGTTCAATTTTGTTTGCGCTAGCCACGATTTAGTCCGTGACTGAAGTTCCGAGCGATTCGTGTCTCGTGTCCTACTCTTTGCCTAAGCCGTGCTATCATTGATGATCAGTGGTGCAATGCCTACTTAAAAGGATCCTGACGTCGTACTATTAAATTAATAGTATGCCACTGTTTCTAGTTGTAAATCCCAGGAGGTAATTTCATCATTCAAAAGGTAATATATCTTCTTTGCTAGCCTTCGACTGGCGACGAGCAGTAGGACAAGCGATAATGTTCGTAAATAATTTCCTTTTCTAAAAACTTTTTTTATATGCTAACTCGTTTGCGCCCGTTATCTAGACACTTATAACGTATAATGATGTCAACAATTAGTACCATACTACGGGACGCCTATATATATTATGACACTTCTACCGAATCAGCCAATTTATATATAATTTACTGTATGGAATTGACTTACTCTATTATTGTCGTCATTGAAACAAAAGGCAAACTTATATTTAAGTGATAGTTAATATCAAAAAGTCTTAAACTTGGTGTAAATAACACCAAGCAGAGTAGCTTCTTTGGTTTGTGTCTAGATCCTACCCATGAAAGCAACTACAACCCTTTTTATTTAATTCATTCAATTAAGCACGGTTATATTCGTTTTTCAAGACCGTCACTCGCTTGGCCAGTTTCACTTAGTCTATCCAAAAAGTGGTGTTCAGTTTACGGTAAATCTATGTACGCCCATTCATTTACTTACTGACGGCAGGGTGTAATCGACGTTGACGTAGCAGTGTCTGCGCCTTTATTGTGTCCTGTGTCATAAAGGGGGCTGAGCAAGGCAAACAAAAGAGGTCAGAGAGAGCAAGATAGAAAGCTACAAGCGTCTTGGGCATTCCATGCAACGTCCCCTATTCTTCCACTTCGACATCGACCCCGTTTCACGTCAATACCAGTATTTGTAGCGTC